GGGGGGGGGGGGGTGTTAAGTAGTAAAAAAAGTAGACTGTACAGCTTTAGATTACGTACCATTTCATCATAAAGCTTTTGAATAAAAAAAATTGTCCACTATTTTGTGAAAAAAAAAAATAGTGAACATAATGTGAAAAAAGTGGACTGTCCACTCAAATAGTGGACACCTGGCAACCCTATGTAAATGTGTAGATATGTAAATGTGTAGATATGACCTGGTATGAAGGTACGTATTTTCCCTGGCTTTCATTTCTACTTCTAGGCTGTAGAAGTCTTTTTGTCCGAGTAGAAGAACATAGTTTTCTAATACTTCTGATCTCATTCTGCACTTCTTTCCAAAAGAACTGCCATTGGGATGTAGACATCACAAGGGCTACTTCACTGCCAATGGATCTGGAGGAGAGGCTAATTACAAACATATCTTTTCTTTTGGCCAAAAAAATACATTTTTATGGTATTACAACTGAACAGCTGGGCTCACTTCTTCTATTTTAATAATTCTATCCAACCATTTCAAAAATGGTTACTTTTACTAAAACACGAAGCTACTTAAGATTGCACTCTATTTTTTCCACCAGGAAATGGTTTCTTTTTGCACAGCAGTAAATCACTACATTGACACCTGGGTCTACGAATATCTTTGAAGATAGCCTATTTTTTTATACCTTGCCCTTGTTTTAATACGCTCTAGAGAGGAGTATATACTTAGAAACAGCTTAGCTTTATGCTTAGGAGCTTATGACCCTGGAATGTTATCTAACAGAGACATTATTTCAGCTACTTCCAAAAGCTATAGATAACTTCTTTCTTTTCGTCTGTCTTTTTAACATGTTACAAGTCTTGAAGCTTGGTAGCACTATCTAAATGTATCTGGAGAGGGCACTTGCTTTTGCTTCCCTCTCACTAATACCTTAAGTGAGTTTCTTCATTTTTTCAATGTGTGCTCATTTTTGTGAAACAAAATGAGAAAATTCTTACAATACAAGCAGTAAGGGCTGGAAGACAAAACATCCCAAGGACTTCACTTCCTGAAAACAAGAAGAGCCAAAACAGGGGATGCTTTTTTAAAATTGGAGGTCATGTTTTGCTATTGAAATGTTCTCTCCCCAGAATGGGGTGCTGTTGAGGTTTGCTTCATTTCAAAACCAAGTAAGGACTTGACTTGACTTGACAGAAGGTCTGGCTAGCAGTAATCCTATTAAGAATTAGGATATACTGTATCTTTTCCTACCAGTCCCATTTGCTTTATTTGTACTGTTACGATCTTTTAATTAACCCCACTGCCAGTAGGGAGACTCCAGCAAGTTTGATAAGCAATTAAAAATAATGCTAAAGAAATGTATTTCCTATTCTGATGTACAGCCATTCGACCAGTAAATACTGCAAGTCTCTGGGAATTTTCACAAAGTATCTGCACTTTCAGTTTATGAAAAAAATGAAGTATCATCAGATTCTTTTTAATGATTGGATAGCCTGGACAACTGGATCTATAAAATGTAGCATGGTACAATTTACAGAACCAAGGCAAATTCTTCTGGTGAGTCCATATATATTTGTTGTGTATGCATATGTAGTATTTCTCATTTCATGGAGAAAAAATGGGAAAGCTCTCCCCAAAAATCGTTCAATATGCTGGCTTTGATACGTGCCTGGAGACTACAAAATTCAAAAAGAAAGGACTAGATATTTTATTAGGGAAAGCATTAAACATCCCAGAATTGACATGTGCTGAGTATCCAAGGCTTTCATATCACCATTAAGGAAGAACTGTATCACAGTTGCAAATCATAGCCCAATAATATGGTTCCAAAAAAATAAAAATTAAATAATTCCTTTAAATGGAGGAATACAATATTTCTGAAATAATGCAACAGATTAAACAGATTATATTTCAAGAGGAAAATTAAGGATGGCAGTAGATTTTTTAAATAAATGCATTAGAATATATCAATATATACTAAAAAAGATAGCAGTGGTATTTTTAGATGCTGGAAAAGACTTTGATAACTTGGGATAACTTTTCTTATTAGCAGTTTTAAAGAAAATGAACCCAGGAGAGAAGTTTAAATAGCAAAAATTAAAACAAGTAGAATACTTGGCATGA